GTGCAGTATTAGCATAGAAGGAAACCGAGAATTGTTCAGATTAGCAGCACGCAAAACTGTCTTGTGGAACAAGACATTGACACATAATTCATACATCTTACCATGACGTGGTTTAGGGCGAGAAGTCACCATACGACTACACGGAACAACTTTACACAAGGTCAGTTGAAACCTTTCACCATCACAGTCCGCGCCACCATTGGAGGGTGAAGGATTGGTACAGTATCTCTCACGTGACCGTAGAGACCGCTTACCACAATCACTGCTGCATTCAGACCAAGCTGACCAATCAGTGAAGCCGCCATTGATGACGTCATTTGCTGAAGAGAATAAGAGAGGAGAACAATTAATGTCATCTCAAACTAAATATGGGCCGTATGGAACAATTTTATAACGTGGACCATGTATTAATCAATCCGAACAGAAAACCCAGCAAAGACTGTTGAGGAAACATTGTCATGTTCCCCAAAGATGGACAAACCATTAAACATTGTTTCTTAGCCACGTTTCCCAACGATAGGCAAACCAGGAAACAATGTTTCCAAGCAATGCTTCCGGAAGGTGGACAAATAGGAAACATTACATGTTTCCTAGCCATGTTTCCCAAAGATGGACAAACCAGAAAACATTGTTTCCAAGCCATCTCTCCCGAAGGTTCATGGCAAAACAGAAAACATATATTGTTTCCTAGTCATGTTTCCCAAAGGTGAACAAACCAAGAGATGTTTCCTAGCCACGTTTCGCGTGTGGACAAACCAGAAACCGTTATTTTATAGCCATCTTTCCCAAAGGTTGACAAATCAGGAAACACTGTTTCCAAACGATGTTTTCCGAATGTGGGCAAACCAAGAAACATTGTTTTCTGGCCATGACAGAAACTAAACCGGTAACACATAGACTACCATCCTCTTCTGATCTCTCAGGTTCAGAAAAAGCTGGACACACCATTGAAATAACTCAACTACAACAATTGCAATACTCACCATGAGAATACATAAGAGCTGAACTTCCATTCTGGTTGACGAGATCAAGATTATCAGAACTGATATCGTGTCTTGTAGCTGCTTTCACATCATGTTTCGTGAGATCATGACTCGGTGCTGCAGCTTCTAAATTGCGTGCCCAGTTTACTCGAATCAGAGTTAGCAGGCAGGAAAGAAAAACCACAGACGAAAGTTTGATTTTCATAGCAACAATACATTAATCTGAAAATGAAAATGTTGAAATGAACTTGGGCGGACGTGGTGCGCAATTAAACTAAACTGACTTTATTTTTACTGAATATGCTCTACAATCACCTTCAAAAGTCTGTTACACACAATACCGCTCCCCTCCCTTTCCCCAATCAATGTTGCTTAAACCAATACACATCAAATCTAACGAATTGTAGCAGTCTAAACTGTTCTCCCTAGGTCCAGTGAAGACGTATTACGCGATTATGATTTCTATATATGATCAAATGCGCTTTACATCAAATATTACGCTTACCTATACCCTAGGTATGGTATGGTATGGTATGGTATGGTATGGTATGGTATGGTATGGTATGGTAAAACTTTATTTAATGACGCTGGCCCCGACAGCAATTAGCTGATTTCCACGGGGGGCGTCAAATATTAACTAGTTACAAAAAAGAAATATTTACATTGTAAATGTTACTGGTGTGACCACAAATATATCATTTAGCTATCATTACCTCTAATAATATTCTTAAATTGGCTAACAGATTCCGCTACCTTTGCATCAAACGGGAGGCTATTCCACAATTTAGCTCCACTATATATTGAAACTCTTTTTAAGATACTCTCTTTTTGGTTTAGGAAGGGTTAAATCTGTTAGACTATTTCTAAGATCGTAGTTAGTTAGTTTGGCGAGTGTTTCTCAATATTAGAGACTCCTTAAGGTTAGGGCCGATGTAGCCATTCAAGACTTTGTACAACAATATTGATTTAGTTGTACACCGTCTTGTCTCTAGATCGTCCCAGGCAAGGGAGCGAAGAACATCAACAGATCGCGTTTCAAAACTTGCACCGGCTATAATTCTTGCAGCCCGATTTTGGAATCTCTGAAGTTTATCTTTGAGTTGTTTGCTGCAAACTCCCCATAAGGGAGAACAGTAATCAAAATAGGGCTGTATTAACGCTTGGTAAATTGTTTGTAAGGTGTTGGCAGGGACGAAAGGTTTAATACGCTTCATCATTCCTATACCTGCCGCGACCTTTTTACAAATCACTTCAATATGTTCATTCCATTCATTCGCCTATTTTATCTTTACAACAATTGTGATATTACTTCCTACCCTGTCAATTTACCCCGTGGGAGGAAACCGGAGCACCCGGAGAAAACACACGACTTTCGGCAGAGCGTTGACAGACTCTTTTCACATGAGTCCGTAGCGAGAATCGAACCCACGATCTCAGAGGTGAAAGGAGCTTGCTTTGACAATGCCCCACCGAAGCCGATACTACAGAAGCAAAACTAAACTAAACCAAACAAAACTAAACTAATTTTATTTATACTGGATAACTCTAGCAGTTCATGTGAACTGTTTTCCGCAGAGGTCCAGTAATAGCCATTTTTTACTTGTCCAGTGTTGGGCAAAACTTTCATCAAAGTTACTTTATTTATAGTAGATAGCTCTATCAGTATAGAGTTATTTAAGGATATATATTATTTCAATACAATAATTAAAATAATCGGCGCATTTAAAGTCAAATAATTTCAGACCAACCCACCATGGCTTACTTGAAACTACACCAAACACATACACTTCAATCGCTCACAGACCTCAGCCCATAGTTTCAAAATTCCACATAAATATAACCATGTAAAACATTTATATTTCGTATATAAAGTATTTAGCAACACAAAATCAAAGATCGCTAAAGTTTTGACGCGCTTCAATAGACCTCGGAATTACAACAGGTGGTGGCATAGAAAATATAATGGTCTATAGCGCTGCCATGAAGCTAAACTCCAAAATGTCAAAAACTAATAGTGTAGACGTTTTCAAAACAAATGAATGTTATAAATATTTGGGTTTCGCAGTCTTAGAGAGACATTTCCGTCGAAAGGTCTTCACCTGAAACGCCGAAATTATTTAATTCAGAAATAAACCACGGAAAACTACCACGGTTGAGATATCTTTTTCATGTAGTTCAGACACAAACCACGGCAGCTTGTTTTGAAATACTACCTATACTGAACACTCACGTTTGAGATAACTTTTTCAGGTAGTTCAGACACAAACCACGGCAGCTTATTGTAGAATACTACCTACACTGGACCACCACGTTTGAGATATCTTTTTCAGGTAGTTCAAACACAAACCACGGCAGCTTATTTTGGAATACTACCTACACTGAACACTCACGTTTGAGATATATTTTTCAGGTAGTTAAGACACAAACCACGGCAGCTTATTGTAGAATACTACCTACACTGGACCACCACGTTTGAGATATAGTTTTCAGGTAGCTCAAACGCAAATAACGGCAGCTTGTTTTGGAATACTACCTACACTGAACACTCGCGTTTGAGATATCTTTTTCAGGTAGTTCAGACACAAACCATGGTGTTCAGACACAAACCATGGCAGTTCATTGTGGATTATTATATATTCAAAGTCTATTCTCGTTCGTGATTGGTCAAAACGCGTCGGATAATTCTTGGTATCTCGAAGCCGTTGAGTTATTTCAGCTGCTGACGCCATCAGTGTGCAATAATACTTTTTTTGGACGGCGAAGTTGGGTCCAAAAAAGTATTATTGCACGCTGTGGTTACCAAGCCCCGGCGCGGTCCATTTTTGCTAAAAAGCGCGCGAAACAAAGCGTAAACAAAATGGCTTTGCTTTCTTTCTAGCGTTTGAATCAGAGCTTCCACTCGGAAGGAAATTTCCTTCCAAAAGGATATTTTGGCATTTGGAAGGAAAAATAAAAGGAAATAAGATTTGGAAGGAAATTGGAAGGAAATTCGGCCATTTCGAAGGAAAAGGGAAGGAAATTTTACAATTTAAACTTTTTCAGTAATTTCTAGTAATTTTATAATGGTTAAACACTTTATTATTAACTTTTGAGTTCAAAAACATTTATAAAAATAACACTTCAGATATTTACATAACCATCAAGGATGAATGGGGGTAATTTGGGACTTAATTAACAGGTATTCAGTGAGTAAGTGAGTAGAGTACTTTTTTCAATTTTTTCGAGGGTTTTGAATTTTTATAACCCCAAATTTAAAAAAAAAACAGTCGGAAAAAGAGAAACTGTAATTTGTAAACCAAAAAAAGTAATTTATAAATTATGATGGCTCATATTGAGTTGACATCTAGTCAGGCTCACCAGAAGATGAAGCTTCAAGTAGTTTTCAAATGCAAACGTAGTAGAAAGCGTGTAGGACAAGTGCCTGGTCCAAAAGCAAATTCATAAAAAAGTCTTTTAAGTACTACGTCGTTCGAGAAAACAGACAAAAAATGAGACAACAGAACATGTTTTTTCAGGTTAAATTAGATATTCACTATTTGAATACTGCAGTACACCTTCAATTTACATCGGGAGTACAGTGCATGAAAATTTACTATAATATTTTAAACTCACATTGGAAGGAAAAATGGAAGAAAATTTAGAATTTTGGGAAGGAAATTTTGCGAAAAAAAAGGACAAAAACGAGAAATTTTGCTTTGCCAAAGTGGAAGCACTGGTTTGAATATATAATGAAACAATTATTGAATTCGGTTTTCGTATGATATCGAGAATTATCAAGGCCTCAGTCATATACTCAACCTCATTCAATAATTGTTTAATACTACCTATACACTGAACAGTCACGTTTGAGATATCGTTTTAATATAGTTGAAACACAAACCACGGCAGTTTATTTTGGAATACTAAAGAATACTACCTATACACTGAACACTCACGTTTGAGATATCTTTTTCAGGTAGTTCCTGAAACACAAACCACGGCCAGTGGCGGAAATCTTGGTGGGGCGGTCGCCCCCCC